CTCTCTCTCTCTCTCTCTCTCTCTCTCTCTCTCTCTCTCTCTCTCTCTCTCTCTCTCTCTCTCTCTCTCTCTCTCTCTCTCTCTCTCTGTGTCTGCCTGTCTCTCTCTCTCTACCCTGCGCACATCAGCCGCCTCGCGCTGCTCGCCCTGCGCACTCTTGCGAACTGCGCCCAACCATGATCCGCCAACTGCGTGCCCCGTTCGGCCTCCACACCATTTCGCCGCCGCCCGCTCCCTCCCTTTCGAACGGCCTGGCCCGTTCGACCTCCGCACTGTTTCGCCGCCGCCCGCCTTTCCTACAGCCTGCCCCATTTGGCCTCCACACCGGTTCGTCGCCCACTTCCCGCATGGGCCCTGGGCTCGTTTTGGCCGTTCCCAACACTGCCCCCGGGGGCTCACGTGGGATGCTCACGCGAGACCCTCTATTTCCTTTAGAGTATTAGAGATATATCATGCTACTCGAGTACCCCTTCCCATTGCCCTTCCGCAGGAAAACATGTGGAAGGCATTTGGTGGTGAGAATAATGACCGCGAGGAGGAAGAGATGGGAGAAACGCCAATGGGAGAGAGCAGTGGTTGATGAAAATACTTAAAAGGCGCGATTCACAGTCAGGCAACCACAAATGGCAGATGACATGCATACACACTGGAATTGTCATATTGACCATGTTCAATGCTTTTTGTACTTGCCTGTGTATGGAGAAGAGGAGCGCCAATGCTGCAACTGTCTTCTCCCCTCCAGAGAGCTGGTCCATATCACGGAAACGCTTCGTTGGAGGCATTGCTGTAAACTTGATTCCATGCAAGAAGGGTTCATCGACATTCTCCGTGTTCAGATATGCTGTTCCTCCCAAGGGGTGAGTGTTGCTCTGCGTAAGTTGCTTGTAGATAGGGTTTATATTGTTCGAGACATGATTGAAAGCCTCCATGAATCGGTCACATCTGAACAATGACATCCACCCACCCACCCACCCACCCACCCACCCACCCAAAAGAAACACGGAGATGTGGTAAATGTTTAGCCGCAACTTTAGCGTCATTTCTAGCCTTCCTTTTTCAAAGCTGTTCTGAATCTTCTGATCGTAAAGCACTGAACAAAATTATCATCGATGCAATGATGGCGGCAAGATGAGAAGATCGGATGCAGAAGAGTGTACCTCAACCAACACCTTGAATGACTGGCAAAACAGAAAAGTACCCCAATCCACACCTTGGATGACTGGAACGACTGCAGGGAGATGATAGTATACGATTACCATCGCTTCTTCCCTCTTTAACTCTGTCTTTTGCACGGTGATTGCAAGGGATTGATTGATTGATTGATTGATCCTAGGAGATTGTTTCCTTCGATGTCTATATTCATTGATAAAAACTGAAAAAGGTGTGAGATTGGAGATGACGAGGAGGAGGGGGGAACTGGCAAGAATGGAGGAAGATAATAGTATAAGGTCGCCGTCTTGTCTTTCCTCTTTAGCTCTATCTTTTCTACAGTAATTGGAAGGGATTGATTGGTCCTAGGAGGAGGTGGTTTCCTTCAATGTTTATATTCATGGTTAAAAAGGTGTGAGATTGGAGATGATGAGGAGCAGGGGGAAGTGGCAAGAATGGGTTGTGACTCATGAGTCTTATGACACTGCTAATATATATTCATTGCCGAGGTTATGAGTCCCTATTCCCTTTCACTTCTCTTCCTCCATAGCCCATTTTAGAAGCAACAAGGTTGAGTTGCAATGCTTACAGAACTTTGGACTTCAATCTGGAGTTTTCAACAATGCCATCTGGAGGATCATAGAACGATAGCCTTAGTGCAATTAAGAATGATTTACATCACCAACCCACATCACCACCACCACCACCAACAACAACAACCACCACCACCAACAACAACCACCAACACCACCAACACCACCAACACCACCAAATACCAACAAACACCAACAAACACCAACAAACACCAACAAACACAACCAACAACCAACAGCAACCAACCACAACCAACCACAACAACCAACCAACCAACAACCAACAACCAACCAACCAACAACCAACCAACAAGCAACAACCAACAACAACAAACAACAGCAGACCTGCCAGCCAGGTGGTCATGGTGAGCAAGGAAGAGACTAAGCTGTTTCTCGCTGTCTCAGGGTTACACATTGTCGACGTACTAGGACTTAAACCAGCGATGCTAAACCCTAAACCAAAATTCTTCGGTGTGGCACACCACACAGCAATTCCTTCAGGATGTACTGGCTTGCCAAGCGGCAAGTTATTCGTACAGGCAAAACGGGCCGTGCACGAGACGGTTTTGCCTGAATGTATTTTACGTCACTCAGCAAAATGGTACCTCCCAAAGGATGCAGTGTGTGCATGACTGCGTCTCAGAAATTAAGTTCGAGGGCCAAACTTGGACGGGACGGAACCACTTCCTTTTTCTTGCGGATCGAGCTAAACAGGCATTAGCCAAAATGGTTCTAGAACCCGAATGGGAAGCCTGTTTTGAACCTCACTCTTATGGATTTAGGCCAGGACGTAGTCGTCAAGATGCCATGGAAGCTCTGGCTAGAGCCATTAGACGTCAAAAGTACTGGTGGTTTAAGAGAGTGATCTCCCAATACCAGACACGATAGAGATAGGAGGCTCGACAGTGATTGCTTACACGCTGAATTGCGTAGATATAGCGGACTTTAATCTCTCCAATTCCACATATATATTTAGTAGAACTTGAGAGTGTCTACATTCTGTTCGTATAGTGGACTTTAATCTCTCAAATTTCCACATACTGTAGAGTTTGTATAGGCATAATAGGCTAGAGAGAGACTGCATTCTTCTAGAAAAAGTAGATTCTCATCTCTCAAATTCCATATATTATAGACAACTGGCCTCTCGCTCCACTACACCACTCTACATGCATTTGGATGCTTTCTGGAGCAGGTGCATTTGGATGAGTCCAACATTTCGAATGGGTCCAGAAAGCGTCGTCTCTCAGATTCCATGGATTGTAGACAAAGGGCCTGCTCCACTACAGAACACTCTACATGCATTTGGATGCTTTCTCGACCAGGTGCGTTTGAACGAGTTCAACATTCCGAATGGGTCCAGAAAGCATCTAAATGCATGTAGAGTGTTGTGCAGTGGAGCGAGGCCCAAACGTAGGCGTGCTTGTGATCTCTCCAGCTCTACACACGGTACAGGTAGTACGCTTGAGAGAGTGATCCCTCAAGCGCTACATTCTATAGATAAGGTAGATTGTAGAGTCATCCCTCCCAGATGCCACATACCCTACCACCTTCGCCCGAATAAAACACCCGGTAGTTATCGCTGCATCTGGACTGACAGTTGTGCCAAATGTTGCTATAATGACCGGGCGTTCGATTCGGGTGAAGACCGTAGGCACAGTCGACCTGAGAGTTCGAAGAGATGGATTAAAAAAAAACACAAAAAAACAAAGGGAGTTACCCAGATGAAGAAGACTCTGCTTTGACATTTTCTTTCTTTCTTTTTGTGTCACAAATGAGAGTAAATGAAGATAGTGAAAAAAAAAAAGAGAAGAAGATGATAGTGGGCTTGAGCTCTCCATTCTGTCGACAGGGTAGATTTTAGAGTCGTCTATCAGCTTCTGCATACCCTACCGTCGTCTCCCGAATAGAATGCCTGCTCATTATTGTCGTATCTGGACTGAAAGTTGCACCAAATGCGGCTATGATGACCGGGAAACTTTTCAAGTGAAGTCGGTGGGCATAGTAGACTTGAGCAGTTGAAGAGATGGATCACAGATCACAAACGGAGTAATCTAGTAAGGTGAAGAGTCTGAAGACTTTGATCTTCGCATGTTTTCCGTTGTTCGAACTATTTTTGAAGTTCTTTTAACTTTTTTGAAGTTTTTCCTTTCTTTTTTTTGTGTGTGGCACTGTGTGTCACAAATGTGTGACAACAATTTATAAAATTATGATATTTGAGATAGTATTCTTGCTACCTTTGCTGCCTCACAACACGGAATCTGTCAGTGATCTCCTTTGCATCGCGCCTAGCCGCATCAAACTCCTCGATCGACTCTCTCTCCCTTTCTCTCAGTGCTTCATACTGATCGAGGGCTTTCAAGTTTGGAGCCGTTCTCTCAATCTCTCGTGTCATCATCTCCAACCGTTGCTTGAACTCCGCTTCAATCTTCTCCCTGTCTGCTGTCCTGATTGCCTGCATCACCACCGAAACTCCCACTGCTTACAAAATTCCTCTCAAGTCCACCTGATGCATGCCCATCTGAAGATGAGCGGTGCAAGGAGCACCAGTGTGATGAACAGGTCTCAAAACAAAACGAGATGATGCAATGTAGAGCAGCGGAAGACTCGGAGATATGACCTGACACATCCGATCCAGACTCGATTCGCACACATCACACAGGAAGGAGGGAAATCATACACAGAAGAAAGATCCCTCCTTGCGCACACACATGGGGAGAAACCACGGATGATGAAGGGGGAGGAGAGACGAAGATGGAGCGGGGTAAAAGGACAAGAGTAGAACTCGTAGTCGTTCAAGAAATAGTCTCCCCGTCAAATGTCCAACCAATGTCTGTCCTAAAAAATGTCGAATCAGATCCTGGGAATTGCAAAGAACATGAATATGGACAAAGCACAGAAATCCAGAATGCAAAATCACACTGAAGTCCAAGTAGTCAAAGCCAAAGCAGATAGCACAATGGAACCAAGTAACCATCCAATTGAGAATGATACAGAAGAATCGTGAGTCAATGTCCATGCCCAACAGGGCAACACCAACAGCATAACCCAAATGTAGCTCTCTCTTGTGAATGGCGCCAGGCGCCCTATCTACTCTAAAGCCTATCCTACAACTACAACAATGAAAAGCAACCAGACAACTTGACTACCAGCGAGTGATGATGTCAACACCAATGCCGACCTCCACCTTCGCCAGGTACGTGTCCTCTTCCCCACACTCTCCCTTGTTACCCACACAGCGCCCTTCGCCTCCGAAGACCACCTTCGCCCTTCACCTCTCTGCACCCTCATGCGGCCCGGCTATGGCTGCCAGTGCCTTGCATGCAGGCAGCGCCCTACCGCATAGCGCTGGCCTGCTTCACCTTAGCGCAGCACTGCTCTGCACAGCGCAGCACACATGCATCCGCGCAGCGTGCCCGCAATGCCAGCATTGGCCAAGATCCCTGCCCACTCGCTCTGCTTGCCTATATGCCAGTGTTGCGTGTGGGCGGCCTCCCTTCAGCCTGCGTCGGGGCCCCAATCGCTGAACCCAGGCCCGATACAGTTGAGGCCCGGGGGATGCAGTTGCACCTCTTTCGTCAAGGCCTGAGGCCAGATTCAGATAGTGGGCCGATTTCCCTTTGGCATTTTTGGCCTCTATACCCAGCATTTATTGTCGGCCTCACGTTCAAGTGCCCAGGGCCTAACTAACTCAGAGGCCCTGGGTTTTCAGCATTTTGCTGAAATCCGAGACTCGGTGCACTCCAACCAACTGGCGTGCTGCAACTGTTTGGACCCCACTTCGTGAAATGTTGGCACAGAGAGCTTTTGTTGATTTGCTGGCCCGCCTTCACTTAGGGCGGGCACTAGGCTTGCTGGGGCCTTAGCCCAGAACATGTACATCATGGCAAGGCCCCCTACTTGAGGGCTCAATCCTCACATTCCATCCCCCTTAGCTTCGAAAGTCCACTGAGATGCTTACTTCGCAGGTGCCTTCCCTTTCAGCAGTCTCTCATATTCTGCCACCACCTGAGGCGCTGTGTCAATCAGTTCCTCTCCGGTGAACCACCGGTCTTCCCTTGGATCCGTATGATGCCTGAATTGGACGCGATATTCTCTCTTGGGTTTAGGAGGTCTTCCTCTACCCAATGGCTTCTGAACAGGCAGATCTCTGTGATCCACAATGTCGTCGATGTCCACTTGACCATCCATGGTTGGGGACAGCATCGATTTCCTGGAAGGGAATTGATCTGTCTCAGCGAAAGGTGCAAGCTTTGAGGCATGAAAGACAGGGTGTGTGCGCAGGTGATCAGGGATACGGATAACGTAGGACGGATCATCCAAATCATTCCCCCTTACATCCAAGACTTCCCGAGATGGACCAACTAACCTTTTATTCCCTGCCTTATCCAGAAAGCATTAACCACCCATCAGGAGATGGTCTTTCCGGTAGCTTCCACCATCGATTGAGTTAGCTCTTATATGCCAATTTCAGAAACTAGTGCCCTACATGACAGCGCATCAGCAACTTGTTATCCTCCCCCTTCAATTGTTTGAGGGCATTGGAGAGAACAGGTTGAGTCTTTAGTCCACTTAAGAATCTGATGATCAGTCCATGAGTAGAAGAATCTACCCAACAGTTAGTGTTTCTAGTGGATTAGAACCTTGTATAGGGCATAGAGTTTCCTCCTTAAGTGGACTTAGACAACTTCTTAGATGACATCCTTTTGTTCATGCTCAATCGGCCTCAACTTCTTCCCTGCCTGCTGGGCCAGCACTGTGCCAATCCCATAATGGTTAGCGTCAGTGGTTACTTTAAATGGCCTCTGAGGATCGGGAATCATGAGAAACTCGTGATTCATGAGTGCGTGCGTCAATCGTTTGAAGGCAGCCTCACACTCATCACTCCAGTCCCATGAGGTGTCAAGTCGAGTAAGATCTGTCAAAGGAGAGACGACTATAGAATAGTTCTTTACGAAACTCCTATAGTAGCCGCTCATTCCTAAGAAAGATCTAACCTCAGTCACCGTCTGAGGATGTGACCAGTCCCTAATACTAGCCACTTAGAGGCTCTGCGTTCTTCGCTGTGATGGCTTTGAGGCCTCTATAATCAAAGCGCATCCTCAAACTTCCTCCCTTCTTCGATACAGAGTACACTGGGGATCCGAAAGAAGAAATACTTAAGCCGTTTACATCCCTTTTCTGTCAGCTCCTTCAGTGGTCGATAGAGTTCGTCCCACTCGGCCTAGGCCATCCTATAGATTTTTCCCTTTTGGGGGTTTTACTCCCTGGAATTATTTCTAGGGTGTGGTCTATCTCCCTTTTAACGACTCCTGTGGGCTTCTTGAACAGATCAAGGAACTTAGCGACGATGTAAAATAAGTACATACCCTCCTCTTGGTTTTATAGTATTATAGAATGTTGCTGTTCATAAGTACGCATAGGACTCAAACAACCTACTAGCCTTCCACTTAGCTAGTCTAATGGTTCTCCTATCAGGCAACTCATGCTTCAACACTTGCTTGTCCCAGTCCAACTGGGGCTTGACAACCTCAAGGTAGTACATTCCTAACAGCATGTCGAATGACAACTCGTCACTAATCCGGAACGAAATCCTATGATTAAGTTCCACTCCTCCAAAAGAGAAGGTCCAGACTACGTCCTTGACATAGTCTTTCACTCACTACAAAGCGCTCGTCGTTGGCCAAAGTAAATGCTACCAGTCTACTAAGGTGTTGTACCTGGTCCTGTGATGCAGCCTTTCCATACAGTCAGAGCTTATGTAGTTCCGCGTGGAGCCAATGTCAACGAAGGCATCACATTTGCGGCCTCCTACACCAACTTCCACACACTTCTGGGACCACCACTTTGTGCCACCCAGGATTCTCTAGGGTCCTTGTCTGACCACTCACTCCGCGAATCCTCTAAGGCCTCAGACACATCTAATGTACAAAGCACATTTTGGTCTAGATGAGTCTGCGGGATGACTAAAGAGTCATTAGCCTTGGCCAACTCATGAAGTGGGAAGGGTATTCCCACTTCACCATGAGTAGAAGCAGCTAAAACTTCCACCGGCCTCACGTGTTTCCCGAGCTAGAAGCCTGGGAAGAAGGCACTCCTCTCTTAGGGATATCTTCTGCATAACCTTCGCATTCTTGCACTTATGCTGGGTGTGCTCATTTTCACCTAGTTAATGCAAGCTCCATGCGAACGGCGGTCCCGCTACACTATTCTAAGCCTGCCTTAACCCAATCATCCACTTTAGACTGGTTGGAGGCGGCCTGCCCTTGACTCTTTTGATGGCCCTTCATTCGGCCATCCGCCTTAGCCTTTTTTACCACGGCAAGGGTGCTACCCTCAACATAGTCCTCACCGCAATCCTCTGGTGTGTCCATCAGGTCAGAAGGGTCATTGACCTCTTCATTCGTCTACCCTTCCTCTTCCACTCCTGTGGACTCTGCTTTCTTCTTCCGTCTACTGAAGAATGATATGCCAACTGTGTTCTCAGTCTCTCAGGGAGAAATAGCAAATGCCTGGGACAACAATGAGATTCTCAACGGTAGTCGTAAACTCCCTGACTAGATTGGGCCAGCGAGCTTCTACCCTGTCGATGAACTCTTCTAAAGATTGGGCCTCACCCCAAACTCCTATGCGTCCCCCATATCCGGCTTTCGCTATGAACACATTAAGCCGGTATCACTTCCTCTTATGGCAAGGTTCTCTTGGCCCTGACCCACATCRGTAACGATCTCATCCTGAGATTGAGATCCTCCTCCTCCTTTCCACTTGYGTAAGGAAGGGGAKCCCTCTTYGGGGTCTTTGAGAACAAGGAACTTGCTACTGTTCTTGTGGTGGAACAGGTTGCTGTGGCGGTGATTGAGTAGCTGTCACCGCCTGACTAGAAGAAGAAGAAGCTACAGYYTGTGCTGYTGCTGCTGACRAATCCGCTTGGTTGTATGCCAGCTTGGGGGTAGATGCCTATAACTGCCATCTTAGGGAGTGGCGATTTATAAACTGCGAGCAGCCTAGAGCTTAGCTGGTGCAACTGAGTCAATGTCTAATCCAAGGTGTCTTGCATGAAGTCCTCTTTGCTGACGACGCGTGCGTGTAGTGTGAGCAAGCTAGACCTCAACACCTTCATTGGGTCAAACATCACTGGCTCGTCTGTTGCCTCTAACGCAGTTTTGTTGGCCTCTACTCTCTCCAAACTAACTGTCCTATCTCTCTTTCTCTCTGTGGCTTCCTGAAGTTCCCTCACTAGCCGTGCATGGATCCTTTCGACTTGCTCGAGTTCCCTCGACTCCCGCTGGCGTGGGGTCAGCGGGCTTAACTGCGAGCCCGCCATTTGACTGGGGGAGACAATAGAAACTACGGTACTAGTGATGCCCGGGGACCAGGTGAGCATTCCCAACTGTGTCCCTGACGAGGTCCCAGATGAGAGGGCAGCATTGGACGCTGCCGCGGTAGCCATTGCAG